CTCACAGAATCCTTGCACAAAGTGTGAGAAATCCCCTCCAACCTGTTCTGGGAACTTGTGAAGTTCACGGGAGTGACATAGACATTGACAGCGATATGTTCAGCCGTCAGACTGTCTGTTGCCTGAGACCCAGGGCAACGAATGAGAAGTGAGATTCCACCATCCAGTTGGTCTTGCATACAAAGCTACAACATATACCACATTGAAAATCATACTGAATAAGTTGAAAAACAAACTCACCGCATCAAAAATGTTCTCAAGTGCAGCTTCTACAAACTCCTCGTGGGTTATCATCTTCTGATCCTGGAATGTCAAGATCTTGTTAAACTTGATAAATGAGGGATGAAGACCGCTGGGGGTCTTTGTGTGATAGTGGGTGCTGTCTTGATGTGATTGATGCCTGAGCAAAGCATGAGCTGCAGCATGATGCTCTGCATTGCTGAAACCTGGTGTGAAGGAATTTGAATACAGGGCTGCAACACTGGCAAGTGTAAAGTGTGGCTTTTTAAAGCTCTCTGGACTTGGCATGGTAGGATCCTCAGCCCCAGCTTGTCGCGGTAGTGGTTGTTTGAGACATTTTGGTGTTGACATGTTGGTAGGCATTGAATTCCAGGAGGGTCACTGGAGGCAAAGAATGAAAGTACTAGTGTGTAATAATATTGAGTAAAGTGAGAGCGCCTTACAGTTTACAGTACATGTGTGTAAACATCTGATTGCCTTGTCCACACTTTGAAAGCGGGGTAACACTAGATATTACACACTACAAAGAGAACTAGAAGCTCATGTTCAACAATGCACAGACGTATAACCTGGAGGGTTTGCGGGTATTGAGTAAAGTGAGAGCACCTTACAGTTTACAGTACATGCACATAAACATCCGATTGCCTTGTCCACACTTTGAAAACAGGGTAACATTAGATATTATGCACTACAAAGAGAACTGGAAACTCGTGTTCAACAATGCACAGACATATAACCAGGAGGGTTCGTGGGTATACATACATGCTTCACCTAACACATCAAACAAGGCAGTTTAGATACAATCACAATTATTATCAGTTAATCACACATCTGATTGCCTTATCCACTTCAAAAGCGGGGTAACACTAGTGGGTATTATGAAATTACAGTACATGTGTGTAAATATCCAATTGCCTTGTCCACACTTCAAAAGCAGGGTAACACTGGATATCACAAAAGTATTATGCACTACAAAGAGGACTGGAAGCTCATGTTTAACAATGCATGTACATATAACCAGGAGGGTTCATGGGTATACATAGACACTTTAACTAATACATCAAACAAGACCGTACATTAATCAACAATCAATGCAATAAAATCAGCAATGTCCTGTGTGACCTGCAATTGCTCCTCATGCTCCATGACACCCTTGTCAGCGAACTCCGAAGTGATAATATCATGAGTAACACGAACTTCTGTTGAGGTAGCTTAGTTGATGTATATATTTCAAAGAAGGTAAACATACCATCACCTCTAGCCATACTGTGTGAGATGGAGTTAGTAGGCTCGAGCACTGGTGTGATAGCCCCAACCTGCCAGCCAATCCCTCTAATACCTGAGAAACCTGGTTGAAGTGTGATCTGATCCAACCGAAAGGCATGCACCGCATTGATATCTTTGCATGCTTTCCATTGCCGTTGTAGCTCATGACCTAATGGAGGATTCAAAACCAAAAGTTCAGTGATAACTGTTGTCATTTTGATGGCTTTGTCATGAATTGCTTTGTGTAGTCGGTGGACTTCAACATTAAGCTGTGCGATCTCTTCCTGAGCACGACATAGCTTGAAATATTTTACTGTTGCTTCCTGATGGGCAGGCTTGGTCCAGTCAAGGTTGCGAATGTCTGTACGTGAATGGTGGAGTAAATAAAACTCACCTAAGAAGCTATATTCAGTCGTGGCTCTGTAAGACAACTTAAATCAAACTCACCTAAAAAACTATACTCGGTAATGTCTTTCCAAGACAACTGTGGACGCAGAGGATCTAATCCAGCAGCCTGAACATTGTACCAGCTGAGTGCATTTTGAATTGCCTCAGAGCATTGCTACAAGGCCTTTCTGATTTGCTGGCATAGTTTATAGCCTTGTAATTACTCAGTTTTGCCACACAAGTAAGTGAAAGATCAAATATGCACCTGTTCCTGAAAGTGAAAGCTTTGAGAGCTCAAACAAATGCATGACAACTAGGTGTTCTAGGTCATCTAAAGCAGTGCGATATCAACACTGAGATTCTTCCTGTTTGTATTGATTATAAGCATCACCCCCAATCTCCCAGTGTTCTTCAATCTCAAGTTGAATCTCCATATGAGCAGTCAATGCTTCTGCATTCTGTAATTTAGCATAGGAATTGTCAATGCAGATCCTGGCCTGAGAAAGAGCAGCTGATATTCAGCTGAGATCACCGGTTGCAATAGTGGTTAGTGCTTGATTGGCAGCTTCACGCGCCAAGTCCCACTTGGATCTCAGTGGACCAAATCAGAAAAATCAAGAAAGAATTGTCAAACTTACATTTGCTCTGCCAATTCACGTAGGACTTCAACATAGTGAATCTGAAGAATTTCGTTCGGAGGTGGTTCCTTCAGGTTGTCAAGATACAATCTTTCTTGGGAGTGAAACTGAATAAAATCTGTGTCAGTTAAGCCAAGAGTATGTTTCAATATTGAAAGTTCAGCTGTAAGGATCTTGATTGATGTTAGTGCTTCCCAGTAGTGGTTCCGCAAGAAAATGCCTTGAAATGATAAATTTAGCTAAACTTGAGAGGGGCGAGTCAAATCATACTTAATGTGGCACATTTGTCTTCATCCCAGAATGAGAAATGTTGCTCAATGGTCTGGTGCTGGTGGAATGCAGATGCATGCCTCATGTTTCATGCAAGTTCATTTGAAGATGCGATGTAGAGACTCATGCCTCTCATGGTGCAATATTGCACTTTACACCTGCACAGCACATAGCATGAATTTGCAGCATCACTTCCTAAGTTATCCTCAGCCATTCCCATATGAGGCGCCTGCTTTCCTGCAGCATCACATGATGCACACACACCTTTCCCACTGCCACGCATTGTATGCGTGCATGCTGCTTTCCCACGCTTAAGCAGCCTATAGTGCCAGCCATCCAGATGCATCCATCCACTGTCCACCAAGTTCCCTAGTGCATATATTTCCATTCTGAACTTATTTACATATTGTACCACCTTTATTTTGTCATGAACCCTTACTTACATATAGCTTTACATACTCAGCTCAGTAGTGCTTTGGCTCAGCTTCGCTGACAGCGGTTAGGCACTATACTTAAGCACCAGCAGTAGATATCTTGAGGGAGTTTTTGCTTTCCCAAGTTTTCCTTTCCCAGTAGTTGCAGTAGGAATTCATTTTCTGAGCATCAGAATAGCAACTCCCAATAAGCCTACATCATGGTAGCTATTGGCACTCTATCTCTCGCATTGCATTCTCTATCGCTTCGCTCTACGCTTACTTCCATTGCCTCATACCTCTATCTTTGCTTAAACCACTGGCACATTGAGTGTGCTTCACTTTCCCACACACACACACCACTTTCCCATGCATGCGCGCAGCTTTCCTGTATGCCTCCAATGTGTTCCTGCGCTTCGCATCGAGCCCCTTCAGTGACAAATTCTGTATTATATGGGTCACCTGACCTACATAATATCCCGTATAAGACGGGACAGCGGACTATGGGCCGATGTTATGTATATCCCCAATGTTGACGGATGGGCCGGGAGGGATATTATTTTCAATGAAGACGGGTGGGCCCATCTATGCTGATATTATATATATCCTTGAAGATGTTGGGTGGGCCAATGTAATGGTTTATTGTATAGATGGGTGGGCCGACGTACAGGAAGTATTTTGTACATGGGTGGGCTGAGGGAGTGGTGGAATATTCATTATATAGACAGGTGGGCTGATGGAGGGGGATGTTATATAGACGGGTGGGCTGATGGAGGGGGATGTTACATAGACGGGTGGGCCGAGGTAGTGAGATATCTGTCTGACATTCATGGATTACCGAGTCCCAGATGCCCAAGAACCAAATCCCATTGTGCAACATCCATTCTGGACACCCGAACACCCCAAGCTCAAGACTGGAAACTGGAAACTTGTGAAAATGTGTGAAATTTCTATTTCCTTACACCAAACACATGAACACCTGAACACCCAAAGCCTGACACCCAAAATCCGAAGCCCGGAACCCAAAACCATGTATGCAAAATGTCCATTTTTCATTCATTGCACAAATCACTGAGTGTCAAGTGACAAAACCCGAAACTCGAGACCCAGTACACAAATCACCAAGTACCGAGTGCTGAGGGCTGAACCCCAAAGTCCGAAACCTGAAAACATGTATATAACATATCCATTTTTCAGTCATTGCACAAATCACCAAGTGTCGAGTGCCAAAACCCAAAACTTGAAACCTGGTATGCAACATGCCCATTTTTCATTAACATTAAACAAATCATCAAATGCCGAGTACCGAGGCCCGAACCCCAAAGCCCGATGTAGCGATGGTCGCGGTGTTGGGCTCAAAACCACGTATTTCCATACTCACTGTTACAAGAACATCTAGACGCTTGGGCCCCTACCATTTTTCTCCTGATCCTCCTCGTATCAGCCCTCGCGTCATACCCTTACCCCGACCTTACCCTTGTCATCCTCGTCATCCTCGCATTCCCTTTCACCCTCTACCTGTCGCTTCAGCAAAGCCAGTACATCTGGCCCGATCCTTTTGCTGACGAAGCATACCCATGCTCCGTTTCACCACCTGACTGATCCTGTGGACAGTCTCCTTACCCTTACCGTCCGGACGGTAACCTATGATATGATGCACGATGCATCCCCTTTGCCCTGTTCCCTTTCTTGATCTCTGACTCGGTGCGCAGTCGCACATGCAACTTATACTTAGATCCGCAGCTGCACGATCGTGCCCCTGCACGTTTCACTTCTCATTTCGATCTTTGACTCATTTTCTTATCTAAGCACGTTCTACCTCAACCGAACGTGCCTTCTTGTTATGGTCATACCCTTTACCGATTGCCTCTCCTGGTAGTACGAGTTATCACCCACTAATACGTATCCTGTCCTCTATATAAACTTGCTACCATGTACTGTATTCCTTAACTTGAATCTACTTGGTTCTTGACCTCCTACTCTCACCAGAGTGATCCTTTCTGCCTCGCCAGCAGTCTATATTCTATCTTCTTATCTGCTCATCGTGGATAAGCCTATAGTCTCGACCTTTACTCATCGACTTCGTCGACGAGCAGAGCCCCTGTTAACTAGTCGGACTTCTGTCCTTCTAATTAACGACGATCCTTACGATTAACCTTCGGGTGTCGTAAGCCTAGGCCGATATAGCTTATCGTCTCGCACCCGCGTGACATAAGCTACCCGATTTGGACATAGGCGTTAAATCGTACTTGCCGAAGACCCACCAAGTACGACCCCTAACCTTGGGCTAGCCCAAGGACGTCCACAGACCGTTGACGACACAAGCTCTGTTTGAGCATCGCCAACAGATACCATCCAAGTCGTAACACTCACGTCAACACCCGAAACATATGCGCACATGTCCGATGCACTTTCGCACATGTCCAAGCCACTCCGTATCGGATCCGGCACATCGGACCTTCGGACATTGCATCGGCCGATCGCACTTCACGTGCACTTGTCCATCCCGTGTGCTGTCCATCCGAACTAGCCTCACTAGGTGCATAGTCATTCCCGTGCATGTTTTCTGACATTCGGACCGCGTTATTACATGTCCGCAGCACCTCATGTCTTATTACATAGGACATCGGACCCAAAATATATTGCTACTATCTTCGCCTGTAGTTTTCCGAATGTCTATGTACTTACTTAAATACTCTGTGGTGACCCGTAGCAATCAGGATCCAGTAGTTAGGAGCCGTTTCCCGACTCTGCGGATCACCCAGAATATTCTCGTAGTTCTTAGTTGCATTGCGAAATATTACCATTCGTTCACCGTCATACTCCGTCACTTGTTATACTCGCGCATACCACTCGCAATCCGACACTTGTTATAAAGTTTCCGACCTATTATTGTGAAGTCCGAAAGTCCGAAATCTCGGACATCGCACTTTGGCTTCGGACATTGGATAAGTACCTTCGGACATCATCGGATTACCTTCGGACATCGTTTCGCACCATCGGACATTTTGTTATTTGCATTACTGACGCGTTTTTACTACTAATACCAATTAGCAATCCCTTTAGGATCGAACGCACTTGCTCTGCAAGTATAGCAGCATAGGTTGTGCTAAGATCTACCTAAATATTTATTGTCTAGGTAGTACAATTTCTGCTGAGCCCAGTGGAAATCAGCTTTCTACACTGAAACCCGAAAATATGTATACAACATATCCATATTTCCCTCACTGTACAAATCACCGGGTGTTGAGTACCAAAACCCGAAACTTGACACCTGGTACACAAATCACCAAGTGCCGAGTGCTGGGGCCCGCGCCCCAATGTCCGAAGCCCAAAACCTCAAACCCGAAAATATGTATATAACATATCAATAATTCACTCATTGCACAAATCACTGAGTGTTGAGTGCCAAAACCCGAAACTCAACACCCAGTACACAAATCACCAAGTGTTGAGTGCCAAGTGCCAAGGCCCAAAACCCGATGTCCAAAGCCCAAAACCCGAAGCATGAAACCCAAAAATATGTATCCAATATATCCATATTTCCCTCACTGCACCAATCACTGGGTGTCAAGTACCGAAACCCAAAACTCAACACCCAGTACACAAATCACCAAGTGCCATGTGCTGAGGCCCGAGCCCTGATGTCCAAAGCCCGAAACCCGAAGCCTGGAACCCAAAAATATGTATATAACATATCAATATTTCACTCATTGCACAAATCACTGAGTGTCGAGTGCCAAAACCCAAAACTCAACACCCGGTACACGTGACTACAACTGGACATGAATTCTCTATTTGTATGTATTATCCATTGATGTAGGGTTCAAATAACTTGGGAATTGTATTGACTACCGAGTGTCAGGACTTGGGACTCACTAGTCAATATAGGAAAATGATAATGAAAAAATGAAAATTATTATTATGCTTAACTTTCTTAATGAAGGTTGTAGTCCGGATCTATGTGAGTGTATTGGTGGTCCTACCAAGTATTGGTACTCAGTGTAGTGATGGTTGTGATGCTGGGCTCAGAACCACTGATTTTCATACTCATGTCATTCTTGTCAATTGGGGATTATTTGAAGACTACATTAAATGTTAGTCAGTGTCGAGTACGATAATGAATGTATAGTCATACCTCAGTCTGAGAACAAATAGACCGAGGTAGGATGATGCAGGTATGAGGATTATATATTTGTCTGGCATGTTAGCAATGATGTAAAGATGAGGCATGCATTTGTACATGTGTGCAGTAAGTGAGCATAAAGATAAAAGAATAAATATTAATAGTGAGACTTGCACATTATGTTGAGATATTCAACATGACAAGCCTGTGATGGGATCAGAGACCTGGAATAACACCCATATATGTATATGTCCATTACAATAGCCCTAATTGTTTAGAAAGATATATGAAGGATTGATGAATATGTAGGATAGATTGTAAACTACCTAAGGAACCCATACTGCCTACTGCCTTGAGGGTAGGGGGTGGGTGGAAGGGATATAGTGAAAACATGAGTTGACTCAGCATTAAAGTCCTATTATTGCTTCACTGACCATTTTCGATGCTTTGGGTCTTTGAAGTTTCCCACACTCCATTTCTTATCTATTTCACTTCCTCAGTACTCAATTCTTGGTGGATTTGTCTGTAAATTTATGTCTATGATACTTAATATATTTTAAATGTACTCCAGGTTTCTGATCATGAAGATTCAATGTTTTGAAGGCATGGGCCCCTTATCAGGAGAAATGGCAAGTATGCATACTAGCTCACAAACTCCAGCCTATTGTGAGCTGATCTTGGTCATAAGAGGCAATAATATAAGGTATGCTCATTATATATTGAAAGGTTGGATCATGGATGCAAGGGCAAGATACTGAAAACCGTGAAAAATGTCAAAAGTGCAATGGTCTATGCTTACATGTGGTAACACTGTCTGTAATATTCAATAATGTGAAAACGAGTAAATATGCACCAGTGGGGATAGATACGACTAGACAGGACATAGGAAGGATGAGTCTGATGCAAAAACGTTGGGTCCAAAACTTTCAGGTCGGGGTTGGGCGTCGGGATCAGGATCGGAATGTCAGGGATGTGTCAGACAAATACTGTTTAATGTGAGTATCAAAAACACAGGTTTTGAGCCCAGTGCCGCGACTATCATTACACCAGGTACCAAGTATTAGAACCAAGTACTGAGTACTGATTTCTAAGTACCGAGTACCGAGTAATGAAATAACCAATTGACCAGAAAAGACTACCAATACACTCACCTTGACTTGGACTACAACTTTCATTTTTCATTCTTGCCGATGTTTCAGATCTCTTTAGCTTATATCTTGGTCAAATGATAACTGATGGACAAGAAAAGACTACCAATACACTCACCTAGATGCGGACAACAACTTCCATTTTTTCATTATCTTTGCCTATTGCACACCAGGTTTTGAGTTTCGGGTTTTGGCACTCAACACTCAGTGATTTGTGCAATGAGTAAAAATTGGAAATATTGCATACATGTTTTTGGGTTTCGGGCTTTGGAATTTGGGCTTCAGATGTCGGGTTTTGGGCCTTGGCACTTGGCACTCTGCACTTGGTGATTTGTGTACCGGGTCTCAAGTTTTGGGTTTTGGTACTTGACACTCAGTGAGTTGTGCAATGAGGGAAAAATAGATATGTTGCATACATATCATCAGGTTTCAGGCTTTGTGTTTTGGGCTTTGGACATCAGGTTTTGGGCCTCGGACATCGGTGCTCAGGCCTCAGCACTCAGCACTTGGTGATTTATGTACCAGGTGTCGAGTTTTGGGTTTCGGTACTTGACACTCCATGATTTGTGCAATGAGGGAAATATGGATATGTTGTATACATATTTTTGGGTTTCAGGCTTTGGGTTTCGGGCTTTGGATGTTGGGTTTCGGGCATCGGCATTCGGCACTCAGCACTTGGTGATTTGTGTACCGTATCTTGAGTTTCGGGTTTTGGCACTCAACAGTCGGTGATTTGTGCAATGAGTGAAATATGGGTATGTTGTATACATATTTTTGGGTTTCAGGCTTCGGGTTTTGGGCTTTGGCACTTGGCACTTGGTGATTTGTGTACCAGGTGTTAAGTTTCAGGTTTCAGTACTTGACACTTGGTGATTGGTGCAGTGAGGGAAATATGGATATGTTGTATACATATTTTCGGGTTTTGGGCTTCGGACATTGGGCTTTGGGCCTTGGCACTTGGCATTCGATGATTTGTTTAATGTAAATGAAAAATGGGCATGTTGCATACCGGGTTTCAAGTTTTGGGTTTTGGCACTCGACACTCGGTGATTTGTGCAATGACTGAAAAATGGATATGTTATATACATGTTTTCGGGTTTTGAACATAGGGTTTCAGGCCTCGGACTTTGGGGTTCAGCCCTCAGCACTCGGTACTTGGTGGTTTGTGTACTGGGTCTTGAGTTTCGGATTTCAGCACTTGACACTCAGTGATTTGTGCAATGAATGAAAAATGGACATTTTGCATACATGTTTTTGGGTTCCAGGCCTCGGATTTTGGGTCTCAGGCTTCAGGTTTATCAGCACTCGGCACTCGGTAATTTGATAAATGGACTTTCAAGCTTCAGGCTTTGGGTGTTCATGTGTTCATGTGTTTGGTGTCAGGAAATAGAAATTTCACACATTTTCACAAGTTTCCAGTTTCTAGTCTTGAGCTTGGGGTGTTCGGGTGTCCAGAATGGATGTTGCACAATGGGATTCATTTTTTAAGCATCTGGGACTCAGTAATCCGTGAATGTCAGACAGATATCTCACTACCTCGGCCCACCCATCTATATAACATCCCCCTCCATCGGCCAACCTGTCTATATAACATCCCCCTCCATCGGCCCACCTGTCTATATAATGAATATTCCACCACTCTCTCGGCCTATCCATCTACAAAATAATTCCAGTATGTCGGCCCATCCGTCTATATAATACATATTCCACTGCTCCCTCGGCCCACCTGTGTACAAGATAATTCCTGTACGTTGGCCCACCCATCTATACAATAAACCATTACATTGGCCCACCCAACATCTTCGAGGATATATATAATATCAGCATAGATGGGTCCACCTGTCTCCATTGGAAATAATATCCCTCCCGGCCCATCCGTCAACATTGGGGATATACATAACATCGGCCCATAGTCTGCTGGCCCGTCTTATACAGGATATTATGTAGGTCAGGTGACCCATATAATATGGAAATATGTCACTGTAATATGTGTCGCATTGGCCAACTAGTAGCGCCTTCCGCATGTATTTCAAGACCTTTGCTGCACTTACTTTCCATTTAGGATCAAATGCACTTGTCTTGCCAAGTATAGCAGACTAGGCAGCGCATGACCTACAACATTTATATATCAGTAAGGAGCTTTGTTTGCACCTCGCTAAGTTGTATTTTCTACAGCGAACACATGTTCACACCCCTTGCCCTCCTTATGACCAGTGCTGTCAATATACATCAGGTGCCAGTCCAATTGGCAGTGTCGGTTATGAGCATGCCCATGGAAAGCACCTACCATCATCTGCAAATTGAGGCTGATGGCACAGGATCCCAAACTGCTGTTTGCCAGAGTCTTTGCAAAAGCACACCCGATATCATAAGTGCAACCGCCATTTTTACCTAAGACAGACATCAAATGATTGAGAAGAGCCAATGGGTATTGCCCTGAATTTCATGAATTTTGTACATGAGAATAAATGATACACTAACAATTCTCCACTTTGAACCATATCGCAAGCCAGAAGCACAAAACAGTGCCAACACACTGCAATAGAAATCCCTGACTCGTCAAAAACAGCAAACATTTTTTTTACGTTTCTCAGGGCCAGCATTTCTCCATCACTCAGTGCATCTGAATCTGGATCCTTGCATCTCGGCCCAATATCTTCCCAGTCATCTTGTCTGGGATGACTTGAAGTTGAGGACTATAAATCTTGTGTTGGTATCTGTGCATATGAAGATAAATTGATGTACCACGTGTGTTCAAACTTCATTCTGAAATTTATTGACAGCTGTCTGGTCAATCCAATAATCTGAACGATGCTGCCATGAATCTTCTCATGGTTCCAGGCCATATGTTGTTGATGCCCAATTTTTGAGGCTGTTATTTCCATCCACAGTTACCAGCCATTTAAAAGCAAGGGAGGCTCGCCTTCAAGTTTATAAACACAACATGGATACAAATTTAAAAGCTGCCAGTTGGGAGTATTTCAGCCAAGAGCATCATTGAGACGAGTCTTCACACAATGTAGTATCTTGAGATACATGTCATATGCAGCAGAAAATTGAGTGTTGAGATAAGCATGATAAGGAATCTATGAACAGTCAGACTGACAACAATAAGATATTTCAAGGTGTACATTGTGAAGATGGCACAATGTTTTGCATTGTGCTTGAATGCTAAACTGAGGGCATGTCCGATGTGATTGGTGGTATGCAGCAAGTGTGCACAATGAAATAGCGACCGTCGGATACAGCAGAGAACAACTGAGATAGCCATGATAGATTAGTGTTTTATTTGGATAAATATGGGAAGGTTGCAATCACAATGTTGTTCACCTGCAACCTGCAGATATTATTACCAAAGCAAAGTAAACAAAGTTAACATGCACCAAATAGATCAACTAGCTCAATATCAGCAAGCGATAGACAATGGCTTCCATCAGGAATTATGACACTGTCAGGGATGCTCGGCATGCCATCACCCTGGTCGCAATCACAATAATCTAGATACACATCAACCAGGCAGTTGAGTTGAGTGTTCCAATGCCCAGTCTGAACCTCAATACAATCATGATGAGTGCGTGGGTCTACATAACAACTGAAAGAACTTGCTGAGTCAAATATGAAGCTTAAGGTTATGAGTACATACCAACCAGATAGCGACACAAGTTGCTGTGATAGGCCATCAAAGGCCTCGTGTTCGCCACCCTCATAACTGAGGTCCAGTCCTTCTTCACCTGGGGGTGCCATGTACAGTGTGGTATCGGCATTGAACCCAATGTCCAACATCATGTTTTCAACCACATCTCAGTCGGCTGACATCATTTCTGTGATTTCTGTGAGCCAAACAGCAAAGCGATGGAACCAACATACCCTGCAGCTTGTTCCTGTCTTTTATTATTTATCTCATACACACACTGGCTTTGTTTATCAGCCATTAACACTTTGGAGCGCCTGTTAGAACCACTGAAGCCATGCCTGATTATTGCATGTGATAAGCCTGAAACCTTCTTAGATGAAGTGCCATGGGAGGCCATCTTGGCAGAGAGGAGTATGGTCCTGCAGGGGAATGGCACAGAATGAGCAGCCTGAGGACAGGCTCAATACGACGGGTGTGGTGTGCTGCATGCAGGAGGGGCTCAATGTTGGTGTTGAGAAGGACAGGTGGCAGAGACTCAATGTTGACATTGAGAATGATGGGCAGCAGAGGCCTGATGTTGACATTGAGAGGAACAAGCAGCAGGGGTCAAATATTTGCATTGAGAGGGAGCTCAACGTTGGCGTTGAGCAGAGGCAGGAGGACAGCATCAGTGAGCTCAATGTTGAGGAGACGAAGTTGTGGGAATAGTTTAGATAGCTCGGCTGTATGTTATTAATGTTGATAATACATTAGTTAATACTGTCGGCTGGTTCCGATAATAACTTACAAGATACAAGGTAAAAGATAATTTGGGGCAGGTTTTAATGCTGGTGTTGGGATTTAATGCAACCAAGGCAAATAATACTTAGTGAGGCACTTGATTGCCCAGTATAGTAATGCTTACTTATTGGGCAACCCAGGTGAATTCGCAAGTCCTCTACCTTATTATACTATAGAGATATGCACTTAGCTTCGACATCATCTGGGTGTGACCAACTGAACCTTAGCTTCAAAGATTCAAAGATGGGTGTGACCTGTGACATGTCAAAAATAGCTTTGAATCAGCACCACTACCAGCTGCTGTCAGCAAGAGCTCACAGCTGATGGTGATGAAGAAAATTTTGGTCATGTAAAGCAAGATGTGTGGCAAATAATCAGTACAAGAATTTTTGAGAACATTTTTGCATTTTTTTCATGTTTTACCGTGTGTCACAATTTACCTTCGATGACTTCAATCTTGTGTGACAGTCACGCAAAATCGCTTTGATTCCTTGGATGTGTGATACTGTGACGAAGCTAAGTGCATTAACGTATCTCTACAGTACAATTTTCTTGTGTTCGAAGTGTCTGGTGTCCCAGCCAGGTGACTGCCTGATTTGGTGCATGTCATGTCATGTAACAGAGCGTGCACGTCCGGCTTTCCATACCCCAGCCACTCATTTCCTCAATGGGTCATCATCATTTCCTACCGTTCCTCGACCGGATTCTCTCTGAATGAATGTATCACATGTGGTCTTGGTGAAGACTTCACCATAAAATTGGCTGGTTTATGTGATGCATGATTGTAGAATCATAGAATCTGCATAGAGTTGCTAGATGTTTATTACTCATACCGAGTTTGAGCTCTCCGCCTCGGATTTTTGGTGCTGTCTGCGGCATAACTGTGAGCCATCACCATTCTATTTGATTTCTAATCATCTTTAGTGACTTCTATGTCTGCCCGCAGGGTGATACCCACGCTCCTACCCAGCGGACGTTTCAAGGGTGGGGGTCCCATCCTAGTACAGCTAGATAGTTTGAGTATGTATCAATTGAGCAATTTTCTCTCATCTGCCATAATTCAAACACCGAACTTCTCCCTCCGCCCTCTCAATGACCGCTGGTGCAAAACACAAGAAAACAAGTGAAGCCACAGGTCCTCCGCACCTGTGGACCAATATATGTTTGAGCTGTCTGCACTGTTATTGATTCGCTAAGTATGACTGTTACACATGCGCAAGTACTTCGTATCCTGCAAACACTCACAGATCTCAATGTCTCTGTCTCAGCCTTTGTCATTTTTCTTTTGGAATCCCCTCACGAATTCTCACAATGTCCCATCAACAATCTGGCTGCTCACTTTACAACAATCTTGGCAACTTCTCTCGCTCAGCCAAATCTCAATTCCTCGATTGTCTTGTGGGCGTCCACCTTATGTACCAAGCGGCTCAAGCAATCAGTAACACAGCTTTTGAAAGAAGAAAATGGGTGGCATTTCAGCACAACCAATGTCCTCGCTGAGCAGCTGGAGGAATTCCGGCTTGAAGACATGGCCAAAGACATCAAGTGTGTCGCACTGGACCTGTGGCACCTGCTGGATGCCTTGCTCTCAGCCAATCAGGAGGTTGTTGTTCCAACCATGGAGCATGAAATTGCAGATGAAGATGGAGAACAATATTAGGCAGAGGTTGATGATGTCGAAGAGAGATCTGAGGACTCGGAGGTCCCATTGGATGTACCCACCTCTCATTGGATGGCACTCATGAAAATTGTAGGACCATGCCATGTATTTGTTAGACTACAGTATGTTCAATGAAGTTCGTACTTTCGACAGAAGAAAGTTGTCATTGTCAGCATCCTCACGCAAAGCACAAGGGGGTGTTGGCGACCCTTCCAAAGTTCTGCACAACCAAGAGAATGCCATGGTAGATGTAGGGGAATATGTTGTCATAGTCTTACTTTGAAGTTTGCATTCATTGCAGTCTCAGCATGTAGCGCAAGCCCCTTGATATGCAATTTATCCAACACAGCAACATTCTAGGTACCGAGAATGTTGAAGGGAGTGACAACAATCTGTATTCCTTGGGGGTGGAATAATAGAGGCATCCAAAATGTCAATGTTTTTCCAGAGCCGGTGTAAAGAGTAGATCTGGGCTGGGCTCTATTGAATGTGAGTCCCTAGTCCTGAGAGGTGCAAGTATGCTTCGTCCCAAGAGACAACCTAAGAACTACCTTGATAATGCAAGGGAAGTCTTATACAGTTAGAGAGTAGACAAGGTATTGGAAGAAAACCTCTTTAATGCTCATCTGTAGTTCCGAGACTACTTCCGAAGTACCGAGAAACTTGTCCGATGCGACCGAAGGTTGTCCAAGGCTTGTCCGAAGTAGCACGATGCCTTCCGAGGCTTGCGAAGGCTGTCTGAAGGTCTATATATGTCGGTGTGTTGATGTGTCGGTATGTTGGTGCGTCGAATAACAGTATAAGACCTTGTGCAACATCCGAAGGTCGGAACAATGCTAATCTATCAGGACTTGAGAATAAACGAAGTGCGAAATTGGCAGCGGTTTTAGCCAGACAATCGTTCCAAATGAACAAGGATCGATTGCGCAGTTTACGATTATACCGAGGTGACTCTACTAATTACTACTTGAAGTACGGGAAGTGAAGTGTCCTATCAGTAGCCAGCGAGCGAGATTATATCCTACTTCCGTGAGAGGCCGGAATCCGTAGGCGAAACTAGTAGCGAGATAAGCGAGTCCGAACCTATGTAATAAGCCATGAGGCGTGCAAGAATGCAAGTATACATGTAATAAGCCACAAATGTGTACTGCTTATACGTATTCCGAGACTCCCGACGGGATGCCGATGGGATTGTTATCCATGTAGCACTAAGACATAGTCAACATATAGTTAGAATAAAGGAAAACGCACCAGCAAAGTCAAAAGGACGAGGATAGGACATGGTATTGTAACTTGTGAGGTTCGGACAGGTCTCAGAACACGAGAACTGCCTGCGGAAGGTTCGGACAAGTGTGCGCGGCCTTCGGAAGGTCAAGGGAGGTCGGGGAATGGTATGAACGTAGGTATTGGATTTCCTGGTTTCGAGCCCAGCGCCGCGACCATCATTACACCGGTCACAGACATCGAAACAACATCTTGGTCGTGTCAGAGGACAGCTTGTGTGACTTTGATTTGCCATAGGCATGGTCTCCACCCAAAGACTTGAAGGGTTCTATTGCATATTTCACTGACCGAGGGCACTACGTCTGACATTTGCTAAAGGAAGCTTCTTTACAATTACTTAATTGGATGGTGGACTTCGTAAATCTACTGATGGACCTGTGGCTTCACTTGTTTTCTTGTGTTTTGCGCCAGCGGTCTTTGAGAGGGTGGAGGGAGAAGTTCGGTGTTTGAATTATGGCAGATGAGAGAAAATTGCTCAATTGATACATACTCAAATTATCTAGCTGTACTAGCCTACTAGGACGGGACCCCCACCCTCAAAATGTCCGCTGGGTAGAAGTGTGGTAAAGGCTAGAGCAAGTAGTCAGACTAAGCTCTAGTTAGTGACGAGTATACATGAATACGAGACTGTAACATACCTCAGCGAGAGGATAACAAACGCTGAGGATGTGCAAACAAGAAGACCACTACTAATACTATATGGAGTAGTTAGGTAAGCGTGGCTGAGTGATGAAGGTGAATCACTGTATAGTACCAGGAAGACAAGGAAGATACAAGATAGGTAATGACATGTCAATACGTGGGTGATACCGGCCATGGGCTTTCTCATAACATCCTTCTTCAGAAAGATCTTTGAATACGCAGTTTCTCAGCCTGCTATTTCTCTCAAATTTCTGGGTCAAGAGAAACCCCTTAGTAGTTCTGAACTTCAACAGATATTTTTTCAATATGAATTATCGCTCCTAGTCCTCATTGCGATTGGCATATTGTGCAAACTCATATGGACGGCCCTGGTCTGATTGATTCAAATAGAACCATGATTTCGTCAATTGTGTTCACATCAGGCCATGGCCAGCAGACATTGTGACTGCTGCTGCTAGTGGTGGCCAGGTCCAGTTCTGAACCACGGTTTGAACCTGAACCTTTTCGAACCTGACCAAAGTCCAGTTCAAGGTTTGGGCAATAGGGAGAACCGAACCATTGGTCCAGTCCACGGTTTGAGGACTTGCAGAATTGCAGAACCAGTTCTGAACAGGTTCGAACCTGTTTGAACCGGTGGCAAGTTAGTATATAGTTTGAGTCGTATGAGCGGCTGAAAACAGACGAACACGACACCCTGTAAAGTCGATGGGATATCAACTGTCATTTGAGAGCTCAGTGACGCAAAAGTGGCCCCGAGGCCAGCAATGAACATGACATAGAGTTGCCCAGGCGTCGTTGCGGGGAATCCTTTTACAGGCAGTAGCATGTTAGAGGAAGGGCATAACACGATGATGCCTGATGCGAGTGTCCACACATGATTGAGGTCAAGTGGGGTCTAGACAAATGCGTGTGCCATGAGTAGGCATCCATTCAGAGAGCTGGGAAGTGGTTGGCGTGTTTATTGTCTGGCAAATAATCCCACAAAAAGAGCAACATGAGTGACACTGACTGCAGCTTGGTCATAATGGGCATGTCGAGTCCATCAGAAGGAGACTTGTCCCTTGCACAGGGCAAGCAAATCAGACTGCAAAGCATGCTCAAATTCAGTGCTGCAGTTATCAACTTCATCAGATCATCTTCATAAAGTAATCAGCAAACGCACCTCCTTCAACTGGAGCTCTTTCCTAGCAGCAATATAGACCTTTGCACCATTCTGTACGAGTGCTGAGGCAATAGCCTTGCCAATGCGCCTGTCATGGTGACAATGTGACGAGGGGAGAGAAACGGTGTTTGTTTGGTCCGGTTCTCGGTTCGAACCCTCACTGAACCAGAACCAGACCGTTATTGGACCGAACCGACGGTCCGGTCCATGGTTCTGCTTACTGAGAGAACCGAACCATAGGTTCGGTTCTCGGTTCTCTCAATTTCCCAGACAACTGGACCGAACCGGACCTGTCCATCACTAGCCGCTGCGAACTTACGAGATAGATTTAGGACATGAGGATAATGACCTCCGGTAGCGTAGCACTCGGGCTTTGGCAGCATTCCTTCGATGTCTCAGCCTCGTCCAATCTTACCAGAATTCGATATCATTTTTGCTGGAGGTGAGTACTAGAATAAGATCATCTACAAGCCTACTTTTAACGTGGCGCGTTGTGTGCAGGTGGTGCTACAGCTTGTGTTGCTGCAGGCCGACTAGCTGCGTATGATTCCTCTCTCAAGATTTTGATTTTGGAAGCGGGTGGACACACCCTCGATCAAGCTGCTCATGTCCAACCCTACCAATATTTCTCCCATCTGGCGCCGACAAGTACCACGGTGACAGTCAATGTTGGAAATCCTAGTTCGCATCTCAATGGCCGTGCACCAATCGTTCACTGCGGTCGTTGTGTTGGTGGAGGTTCAAGTGTCAATTGTTCGTAGCACGTAGCATTCTTGCAGCGAGGAACGCGGATCTGATGTAATACAGTCATGGCATACACTCGTGCGGCTGCTTCAGATTTCGATGACTGGGAGGCTGATGGTTGGGAATCTGAGAATCTAATTCCTCTCATGAAAAAGGTCGTCAAATTTACTTTTCATTATACTTTTTAAGCTGAATCATTCCATCTTGTGCAGCTGGAAACATATGAGGTGCAGCCTAATGGTCCAACCCACGGGGACAATGGACCTATCAGGGTATCCTATGGCGGTCGCGAATCAGGTCTCTGGGAAGAGTTCATCCATGTTGGTACAACCTACCACAAGCGGCCATTTGCCGACGACACGGATGATCTAGAAACATGCAACGTATACAGTGTACGTTACTGATCTTCCATCCCTGTTTGCCACCACTAACAAACAGCATCTTAGCCATGGGCAAAGTGAGCCCATACTCGTAGCTTATTGTCAATGAAGCTCATATACGAGAAGGTATATTAATGGAACGACTGGAAGGCGTTCTGATGCGGCTCACCACTATGTCTACAACCAAGCCCACAACCAGAATTTACAACTTTGGGTCAGCAAACTCGTGAAGCGCATTATCTTTGAGTGAGTATCCACCTAGAATCGCAACTACATTCAATTGTTGACGAGCTTTTGTAAAACAAAGGGGCATGCGTGCAGTAGGTGTTGAGTTCACCTGCGATCCAGTATCCTGCCCAGGTGCAGATCAATCATCGAGCATCGTGAGAGCAGCAAAGCTTGTTGTTGTCTCTGCTGGAGCATTTGGTTCACCAACCATTCTCGAGAGGTCCGGGATCGGTGCCGAGGCGATCCTCAAGCGTTGTGGTATCGAGCAACTGGTGAACTTGCCTGGCGTTGGAGAAAATTATCAAGGTCCGCCTTTGCCCATTAAGTTGATCTTAGCTTAAGGCCATTAGATCATCTTGGCTGCTTCGCCCCATACTTTGCTGCTGACGAGGCTGTTACCTTGGACCCCCTCTGGCATGGGGAGGGTGTTGTGCAGGGTAAGTGTGATGTTCACATATTCTCAACGCACCTCTCAACCGTCCAAATATAGAAAGCCTTGCGCAATGGAAAAGTAATGGGAAGTCGCTCATAGCGCAAAAGTCTGTACGAGTTATTGCTACTGATGACGTACTGATGAGTATTGCAGTGGCTGCGATGCCAAGATTAAGTGGCGACCTGATGAAGATGAGCTGAGAGCCATGGGTTCAGCTTTCCAAGCGCCATGGAAAGAATTCTTCCAAGATCGCCCAGACAAGGCTGTTGCCTTATTCGGTCTAAGTGCGGGGTTTGTGCATATCACTCTGTTTTGATGACATGGGTATGCTCACGTTAACCAGATATCTTCCACTCTCGAGCACCCTTCCTTTCCGTAAATATCTGGGTGTCGTTTATTTTACAGTACTGCTCCCCCGTCTACACTGTGATTCTGTTCTGAAAGTTTCAATAGCTTTACCCCAGGTCTCTTGGGAGCGTTCATGTCAAACTGGGAGAGAACGGCAAGCAAGTCCTCGACTTCACTGCGGGCTTCCTAGACGAGTAAGTCGGTACATCTCCTCTCAGAAATCGCATGACTATAATATTTCGTTCAGTCCATCTGATATCGTACCTCTTAACTTTGGATACAAGAAGACGCGAGAAATATCTCGACGCATGCCTTCCTACCGAGGTGAAGTCCCTTCAGGCCACCCTTGTTTCCCAGAGGGAAGCGCTGCAGCATGCAGCGAAATGTCCGGGCCTGTGAACTTGAATGCACCTGACATCATCTACACTACCGAAGATGACGAGGCAATCGACAAATTTCATCGTGACTGCAGTACGTCCTTACCGTGGTCCTCAATTTTACCGTAAAGATACTGAATTGGATTTCAGTCCCAAACGTACAGTGGCACTCGGTGTGTGCAATTAAAGGTTTTGATGACTCTGCTTGACTGATCCCTGCGGGTGTAGCTGGGGACTTGCGCCATGAAACCGATGTTAGAGAAAGGTGTCGTCGACGCGCGGTTAAACGTGTATGGCGTGGCGGGCCTGAAGGTTGCAGATATGTCTATCGCGCCAAAAATCTGTTGGCACGGTGGGTATTGGATTGCTAACTTTGACGCGTGGCCTAACTGTCTCCCAGAATACGTACTCAACGGCACTCCTCATTGGAGAGAAGGCTGCGCTGATCATTGCTGAAGACTTGGGTATGAATTGTAGAGAATACACTAAGGGGTAATGGGAAAGTGCACGGCCCATCGCGTCCTTGATGCTTATGTTTGCAGGAGTGATCATGAACATGTACTTCAGTAGCACGCCCAGAATGCGATCAGTGTGTGTCTCAGGATGGTCTGTCAGTGGATTCAGATGAGTTGATGAACCTATTTGTGATACTACGGCAGAATTTTAGCAGGGTAAAAGAGGACGGGATATGGAATCCTTACTTGGACAATGTAAACCAGCAATTCTTGAGGTTGCCGTCGACGAGAAATAAAAGTTGCTTGCTGCAGCCCGCTATGCTCAAGCTCAGCTGGAGTGTGATGTCTGACTGAAGAAGTGACGCCTGTCGCACCCAAGCTATCGGAGGCCGCTCATAAGAAGACATCCCAAAGCACCGCCTCCAGCCGAGATCTACAAATGAAAGGAGTAGAAAAATGATATTGCGAACATAGGTAGGATGGGGTGAAGGACTCTAAATATCAACGACTAGTGGTGTAGCAGCCGAGGAAAGAGGATTGTCTGTCCATAATGAGATAGGTACTGGATATACAATTACAATATTCAAACTTTGGAAATTGGAAATTGGGGAACAGTCATGTAGCGAAAGGAAGATGATGGTTTGATCGTGATAAAATAAAATGTGGTAGTAATCAATCCAGGTCAAAATCTCGGATTTTGAGAAGATCTTCAAGAGATGATTTCTTCCTCTCGGGATCAGCCTCAAAGCTGTGAGCTTTTGTTCGAACGAATGGCCTTCGAAGGACAGGAGGCGCCCAGAAGTTGTCGCTCGGCAGGTATTGACGAGACACTTTTGGACGGGTGTTCGTTTTAAGCTGGTGGATTCTCTGCTGTCTTTTCGCCAAAGCATCCGGTGCTAAGAATCATGTGTTAATCTATGTCTCCTGAATACATATCGCAGTAGGTTCACATACCTAACATAACATTGGACGCTGCGAATGATTCCCGTGTCGGAGATCCAGCGGCAGCATTCACTGCAGTCTGGATGGTCCTTTCACGAGCGGCCAGTGGGTTCTTCGGCACTAGTAACTCCTCGATGCCCAGTTGGGCACGAGTGTCGACTCCCCCACACCGTATGACAAAGTTGCTCTCCAAAACGAACAAGAGCGAAGTGATTCGATCTGTACAAACGGTGAACAAGGGAATCCAACAAAATAACGACTGGTATTTACCCCCCATATCGGCAGGAAACGCAGGCCTGCGGCGCCTGATCCAAAGAAGCAATTTGAAGTATGCCGACTTGTAGGGCAAGAGTTCTTCTGAACACAGAACAAAAATGTACAAGGCCACGCCCTCGCGTCTGAGAGTTATCCGCGCGTTCTTGAACCGAGAGCATTATCGAACGAGTTTGCGAGCCTTGAATTTATGTTTACCTCTGTCAGAGCAATGATCTGCACGAAAAGATAATCGTCAGTTGACTATAAAAGATGATTCGATTGTAAAAGCACGACCTTTCGACTGTAGTGCTGTAATTCGTGGTCTTCCAACCGACCGAATTTCATAACGTCATTGATAGCGTCCAGGAAATGGGGTAGAGAGCCCAGACGATGAGCCAAATCATTAACGACTGCTGGACAATCGAGTGCAGGGAAATCGTTATTCATGGCGTGATTGGTGAGTAGTTGGAAAGATGGAAAGATGGAAAGAGGTAGGACGAAGGTCAGTTTAAAGGAGCGACAGTTTCCACAAGATGTGGATGTGGACGTTGTGGACGGTATGACTAATGAGATGCGGATTGTGAGCCCTAGCGTGGTAAGGACCCTGTGTAAAGGACCCTTCGGGCTCCAAGAGTTTACCGCACTCGAATGCGTAAGCTGGTCATGCAACCATGGCATGAATGAAGGGCAAAAGGTCTTAATTGATTATGGAGAAACGCAAGGGCAATCCGACACGACAATCGTTAAATTTGCATGGGTTCATTTGATTTCTTAATACATATGCATCGAATATATCAGGTATGAGAGTTTCAAACTGTGTCAAACAATCACCTCACGAGTTCATAGCCCCTCTATAAGTCTCCGGATAATGGGGGCAGTCTGCTTCCTCGTCGCGCTCGCGTTGCCCTGCTCGTAAGCCCTCGCAACAAATGAATCACCAAATCGCGTTTCATCGGCCATTACGTCTTCGGTATCGTCGACCTCAGGTTCATCAGCCGCGTTGGCGTTGCCCACGAACTTTGAGAAATCAAGCCTTTTTAGCTGAAGCTCTTCGCTTGATTCGAGGCCTTGCCAAAGTGTCTCTGTGATGCCTTCGTCTGCCTTGACTATCCAAAGTTGCTCCCGCCTTCCCTTGCCTTCATTGCTCCGAAAAGTAGTGAGTATGCCGAGAACGCTAAGATCTCTTTCGGTGAGCCAATCTTGAATTTCTTTCATGGGATAACTCGATGATGCAAAGAATGCGGAGAGGCGAAGTGGGACGGTGGAAAGACCCACTTTTATCACAGGCACGTTGAATGCGTACTCTTTGTAGTCTCTCCGCAGCAAGTCCCGCGTGCTGAGATGGAATACAGAGAGCTTCTTCTCTCTCAACGTCGCAGACAGAGACTGAACGGAAGGGAGATGGGTAATTAGTTGGTTATCCGACGATGCAGAGACCAAAAGGGATCGGGGATTAAAAACGCAGCTGCCTCCCTGTCGACATTCAGAGCTTTCCCTCTCTCTTTAAGGCCATGGGTATCGATCAAAATGGCACTAAGCAAGAGTGTCGACAATTCTGGGGGTATAGAAAGATTGGGGAATGATTGATACAATCTTGCAACAAGAGACGAGCAACTTCCAGCCGGTTCGATTATCCTGGGACCAGAAGACGCTGTATATAGCCATTACATGTTAGGGACGTTTGCACTGGAAGTGAGAGTCGATGAAGTATCATGCGGCGCCGACGGGGAGAATCAAGACCATTGAAGTCGCTTAAATTCATCTGGCAAGCGTATTGAAATTCTTCCAAAGTGATATTATTTCTTGACCTATCGCGAATCGCCAGCAGTCACTGAGAGTGACCAGTCTCCTTGATTGTCTGATCGATCATGAATTATGTGCATGATTCATTAGGCAAGCAGTTCACCCGTGGGCCGTTGGCAGTTGTGTTCGCTGTGTTGCGAGGATGTGATGACGGTATGGTTAACGAGACCTACAGTGATGGTGTAATTCGATTTGCCACGATTCGGGAAGTGCCCTTGACCAATTAACATGAACAATGAAGCAACATGCTTGGAGTGAAGTAATGAGCAATTTCGAGAGAAGAGGCTGCCTGATGAACCGTCACGTGAAGTAGAAGAAGTTACCGGAAGGTTGGCAAATCTTTACAGTCCACCAGCACGTTTAAACTTTGGCCCATGTGTCAGTTTTTTCAAAAGATGACCCCCACTGCGCCGTCGTCAAGAGTACTCATCCGACTCGCCGACTCGGGGCCTACTCAGAACTTTCAATTCCGAATATTTGAAGAAACTTTCTGCAGGTTTTTGATATGTCGTATGAGTCACTCAGGTGTCCTCATTTGCCATCCGAGCCCTTCTCTCCTATATCGAATCTGTACTTCGGACTCATATGTCGTCTCCGAGTAAGGAGACCTGCATATCGATCGATAAACTTGAAGGTCTGAATTCAAATACTATTTGATATAACATTCAGCCTATATACCACTAATGTTAGTCAGGAATATCTCTCTTTCGCAACGCAGAGAACCTGAAATTCTTTCATCAGCAATGAATTCAACAAATTTTATTTTATTCACCTCGCCAGGCTTCATCCAAGCGCAGTCGTGGCCCACGTTCGGGTTGTTCCCAAGCAACGTCTCGAACGCGACATTATGTGCATCTGCAATGCTGTGGCATGTGTCGCCTTTCTTTACAACATGGGTAGCTTTGCAATCTAAGTCTTTGATTCCAAGGCATAAAACCTATGACGATGAGTCCAAGTATTTTTCAAACCCCAGAATGTCTTACCTGATTGGCAAACAAATTGCTACAACTGGGGTCAATGATGTCTTTGTTAACTGCCGCCAGCTGGTATCTGTGGCATACGTTCGATGAACCGGTGAACGGAAGGTACCTGATTGTACGTACGTGGGAACGCCGTATTTTTCGCAAATGTCGCTACATGTCTCTCCAGCTTTGACAGTTGCAGTACGGTCACAATCAGCAGGGAGGTCATCTAGACGTTTTGCTGTTGTAAATGTTGGCATACTCGAACTTCGAAGATTACTGACCCTTGGCGGAAACAACTGAGGCAATGACGGCGAGCGCAACGAGTCTGGCGGTGAAGGATGAAGCGTGCATGCTGTTCAGGTGAGGAGGTCCAGACTCAAGTGAGTGATGTTTGGTGCCTTTAAGCTGACTTTTCTAGCTGCCTTTATACCCTTGAAGGACGAACACTGGTCTTCTGATGGCCAGCATTCGCCGTCTTTCTTTCGACTCTTTGTGACTCAAAATCCTTGGACTGAGTAAATGGACACGATCATATGGTACGCGCGGCGTTTGCGCAGGAACTACCCTGACGCTCGTGTGGTCTAATGACACATCGTACTGGGATTCCTGATAATTCCTCGGACCCTGTATATAGACATGCATAATTGATTAGGAGTGGTCTCGAAACTCGAGACAAACCTATCTCGATTACCCTACCGAGAACTACCCAGTGGACCTGATTGACAAGGACAGGGGGTCTGGATATCTCAGGACCTTTTTAAGGGTACTGGTATTCCTGGACCTATCTTGGTCCAGGTCTGTGTCCCTTTTTTCCGCCAAAATTCTCTGTCACGTCCGATCATGCCGGCCCGCTCATCCCGTTTACTCACGCCACTTTTCCGTTTTCATATATTTCTTGTTTCCTCTCCGCTGGACATTACTACATAGGCCATTTGTATTACTCAATAACGCGAAAGGCCGCTTGCGGCAGAGCCCGCTACGGTCGTTTGAATTCGAGTTTATGACAAGCTGTTATCAAAACATAAGGTACGTAATGTGCAGGTTGTTACAAATACACCATATAATTAGCATTGAACGAGTCCTTTTGTCAGTCAGACGAGACATGATTCATCAGTACAAGTACATGGCACTGCTGAAACAGGAATCAATCTATCTTTTCTTTGCCTTTCCCTCCCTTTGCATGCTTTGACTTCTTCGTAGGGCTGATAGTGATATCCAACTTAGAGATGCTTGCAATCACTGAATTGCCATTTGACATGTCTATTGAGATTGAGGAAAGAATTGGGATAAACGGTTCTTCGACAGGCTCGTCGGAGGGATCAAGGATTTTGATCGCTTGTACTTCTAGTTGGAATATCTAATGCGAGATTAGTAGGTGTGATGTTGGATTGATCAGGTCTTCGTAATGTTTCATAGCCATCAAAAAACTTGTCTACAACATGATCATTGTAGTGCAGTGGATACGAACGTGATGGAATCGTATTGCTTAGAAGACTTCAACTTTGCTTTTTCAATGTGCAGAGTAGCAGGCTATAGTGTCATTATTATGGATAACCAAGTCTCATTAGAGACCACTGGTTATCCTTCCTTGTCATGGATTGCTGATGCTTGACAGCTTATCCATTACCACTCCCACGATGGATAATTTGCCAGACAGCTCAATTTGGTATGTTTCTGCTCATTCTGGCTCAATTCCTCATGTCAGGACTTCCCACAATAATACTACACCGCATTTTTGGCCACACAGTGTGGGAATTACCCCACAACACCCAAAACATTGCCCATTTTGGTATTCTCCACAATATCAATTATTCCCACACCCTTCCCACCTCACTGCAGCTTTACCACTGCACCACAATAGGTCCCCCCATGTATCTAAGTAGTAGTTCAGTATATATATGTATCACATAATACAATAGACCACTTTTTTTGCTCATTTGTATGCCTGCTCCTCCTCCAGGGGCAATTCAACATATGGTAGGATATAAAACACTTTCGCACTTTTGCCCCTTTGGCAGGGAAGTATCCTGGAGCATTCAGAACATGTTTAGTAGTATATATGAATATATTACCATCTTTATTTGACCCCCTGAAGCGCCCTATATCAACACATACAATATATGTACAGAAAACACAAAATAGGTTTGCATTTTTTTGGTTTCTGACCATATGAGCTTGCAAAAATTGTCCCCAACATCTGTTCAACAGTATGAATAATGTATCAGGAGCTCAAGACCACAGAGAAAGATCTTTTTGTGTAGTGCATTCACTCTCTCCTGGTGGTATACCTCCTGTGAAAGATTTTCCTGTAGGACTGGACCTTAATTAAAGCAGGGAGTTTATTTCTGTGTATATTTGGGGTATATTCATCATATAGCTAGCCCAGGACACACATAGGATCTCTCTACAGGAACAGAAACATCAAACATCGCATTTTTGATCAGCTCCAAATAGGCCAGTGATTTGAGCTAGGCTGTATGCTGGCCATTGTTACTGATAAGGAGACTACAACTACAAAACATCAAAATTTAATAATCAGAAACCTGGAGCAGAACTCATATATATCAAGTACCACATATCTAAAGTTACAGACCAATCCAATAATAACTAAGTGCTGAGGGAATGACATAGATAAGAAATTGAGTGTGGGAAAATTGAAAGACTCAAAACATCGAAAATGGTCAGTTGAGAAGTAGTCAGACTTTAATCCTAGATCAACTCATGTTTACACTACATCCCTTCCACACATTCTCTACCCTCAGGGCAATATGTAGTATAGGTTCCTTGGGTAGTTTACTATCATTCCTACATAATTTTCATGAAATCTTCGACCTGTATGAGCTATAAATGTAACTTTGTGTCAAAATGACAATCATCACTTTTTACTCATATGTTCTTTTGCCTATCATGCAGTCAATCTTTCATGGATCATTCTAAAATTTTCATCATATCATGAGGGACATATATTAGAGGTATCTCTGGTCTCTGATCACTTATTGCAGGCTTTGCTATCATATAGGCATCTAATCAATAGAAAGCCCCCTTTACATTATATGTCACCTTTCTACCATATATCTAGCTGATCCTTAACATGAAACACATATTTGGATGTACTACTGATTATATATGAAGATGGCTGACCAGATGTGGAAGGGTAAGATACTGAAAAAGATCAAAAATGTCAAAAATGCGATGTTTGATGTTTCTGTTCCTGTAGAGAGATCCTGTGTATGAGCAGAAAACATACCAAATTGAGCTGTCTGGCAAATTATCCATCGTGGGAGTGGTAATGGATAAGCTGTCAAGCATCAGCAATCCATGACAAGGAAGGATAACCAGTGGTCTCTAATGAGACTTGATTATCCATAATACTGCCAGGAGCAGGTGAGAGTAGTCGTCCCATTTTTGATCCTGGTTTGAAATCAACACCATTTGCTTTCAATAATTGTTTGAAAGGACGTCATTCAATATCGCTGTCAAGAATGCGATTGCTCTAGCAAGTACCTCTCCTTCATCTTTACAATGCAAATTTAACTGTCGACGGAGTGAATTGCACCTTTCAAATGTTTCTGATAGAGAAGAATTGTGCAGAAAAGATAACAACACGGTGGAATCAGGACTTGCACCATTGACACAGATGACAGCAGGAACATCTGCAAAAGATCCAAGGACTTCGTGATAAATAGAAGACATAGTAGTCGACAACTAAGCAAGATCAATGTGAGCGAAGACTTAGAAAGAATGTCACATGACCGTGTAAATAAAACATCATTTTGCGACTGGAACACATTTCTCTGCCAAAAATTGGTTGATGAGGTTTTTTTCGAGCATGACACTGGCAAAACCCACTACTACCGTAGTGGGAATAAATCCATCTCAGTATGTCTTATCCATTTGGTCTCGCTGGAGAAGTCAGTGCATGTACCTTATCCAATTCTACAAGCACATGCAATGATGCTTGTTCGTCCCTTTCATCTTCTTTTTCTTGTCTGTGCTCAACGATGTTTCAAGCCAAAATGCTTATAGCTTCTGACATCCCTCTTCCTCAGGATGGCAAACAATTGATAAGCAGTTGCATTCTATGCCAGAATTTTGAGTTCTATGCAGTTTCCTGCAGTTGCTTGTTGTTTTGTTCAGTCTACCCTGTTGGCGTGTTCTGTTTGTTACGACTTGGATAGTATCTGTTGGTGACGCTCAAACAGAGCGTGTGTCGTCAACAGTTGAGGACGTCCTTGGGCTAGCCCAAGGTTAGGGGTCTTACTTGGCGAAGCTTCAGCAAGTAAGATTTAACGCCTATGTCCAAATCGGGTAGCTTATGTCAAGCAGGGCTCGACGATAAGTGTATCTGCCAAGGCTTATGACACCCGAAGGTTAATCGTAAGATCTGCGTTAATAGAAGGACGGAAGTCCAACTAGTTAACAGGGGCTTTGCTCGTCGACGAAGTCGATGAGTAAAGATCGAGACTAGAGACTTATCCGTGATGAGCAGATAAGAAAGTAGAATATAGACAGCTGGCTAGGCTGAAGGAATCACTCTTGTTAGGAGTAGGAGGTCAAGAACCAAGTAGATTCAAGTTAAGGAACTAGATACATGGTAGTGGGTTTATATAGAGGAGAGGACACATATTAGTGGATGATAAATCGTACTACTGGAAAGGGAACTGGTCAAAGGGTAATGCTGGAAAAGGAAGGCACGTTCGAGGTGAGTCATAGGCGAACCAGAACGTGCAGATAGAAAATGAGTCAAAGAACAGAAACAGGAAGTGAAACACGCAGGGGCACAATCGTGCAACTGCAGAACTAAATATAAGTACAAATATGCGACTGTGCACCGAGTCATAGATCAAGAAAGGAAACAGGGCAAAGGGGATGCAGCATGCATCATATCATAGGTTACCGTCCGGATGGTAAGGGTAAAGGGGACTTGTCCACAGGATTAGTCAACAGGTGGAACGGAGCATGGGTATGCTTTGTCAGAGAAAGGGTCCAGCCAGATGTACTGGCTCTGCTGGAGCGACAGGTAGAGAGCGAAGGAAAATGCGAGGATGATGAGGATAACAAGAGCAAGGTCGGGGTAAGGGTGTGATGCAAGGGCGGAGATGAGGAGGATGAGGAGAAAAATGGTAGGGGCCCAAGCATCTAGATGTTGTAATGCTGCTTGATTGAGTTTGACGGGGAATGATTCGGACCAAGAGAGAATGAGTGAGGGGGAGTTTATTCACTTCCGCTATTGAAAGTAGGGACCGACTATTTGTATGTAAGTGAGCACAAAGGGAGTTCCATAAGTAGTACTTCGAACTGGTACAAAGGGAATTCCATAGCTGGTGTCCATAGCTAGCAGAGTGACATTTCTTACAATGTTCTTGTAACACTGTTCCATAGAAACATCTGAGCGTGTCTTGATGGAAAACTTCCTCTTTTTCTTGCAAAAAAATCTAAGAACTATTTGTAATCTGCATGCCATTCCTTGGTGTCTGAGTCATCACAAAGATAAACTGCATGATGCTCTACAACTGCATTCTTGCTCATCATCATGTTGATCTCTCTCTTACAGTTTTAAGTGTCTTTGCAAGTCGTGCATACACTATGACAATGTGATGTTACCTCCTTTTTCCACAACATCATTTTCAATGATGCAGCATGAGGGTCAGCAATGTTGTCGAGTGCTCAACAAAAATGAATTCTTTCAAACTCAAGCAACTCTGGATGAGCACACTATCTGGATGAATTGGAAATATAAGAAGCCAGAGGAGTTCCTTGTGATATACGACCATCGCAAGCACAACAATGGGACCAATGGCAGCAATTACATGGTGATGAAAATCAGTAAGGACAACTTAGTGCAAGATCTCAGCATGGAGCACTTCCTGATGGTGGCATGATGCATCACACAGTGAGCACATAAGAACTTGTTATAATGAATATACTAACTTGAAAATAATGAAGGACAATTAAAACAGTGCCACATGTAGCATGTGCAAAGCCAGAAGAGTAGGAATGAAAAAGCAGAAGACGAGGAATGGAAAATGTGAAGGATAAACAAATTACATGATTAGCTGGCTGTTATCCACTGAAAAAAATGTTGAGAGGTGTGTCAACTGTTCACATTGAATCTGAGCTGAAAAATGAACATGACACAAGAGTCAAGAGAACTAACGGAACAGCAGGTCCAGGGGGGCCCGTCAGGGCTATATCGAATAACAATTTTTTACATTGGCAAACCTTATATCGATCTTACCAGGGTTGGCGGCCCGCCTCTGTTCATCCTTTTTTGGATGTGATGATGTGTTAGTTTTATTGAGTTTATTGTCATGCTTTTTCATCTCCTAAGGCTCCGAACATTTGGTCTCCTGAAGTTCCTGATGGCATTTCTTCCTCTCACCCTCATCACAAAACACGATATTGTTCTGTCTGATTTGTTATGGTGGTTACTTTGTCATAAATGAACTCTTTCAGCTATCCTGCAAACTCCTCATGCACAGTTGGATATGCAACTACTTGCAGCACTTAAGTGCTTTTGTAAGAATGTCCCAGGCGTCCTTGTCATATTGATGCATGAAAATGTTGTAATTATAAGGTATATAGCCATGTACAACTGCTACAGTACAAGGGCAGGTAAATAGGCTGCATTATAATGCATTAGGATGCATTATAATCCTACACCTGGTGCATCACCTAATGTACCCATAATGCATCGCAGATGCACCTAATGCACGGGCCATCATGGATAGTATTACCATGGCTTGGCTATGGTCAGCTCCGGTTCGGCATTTGCCAGTTTGTCAGAAGTTTGGCAATTATTGTGAGCCAAGCCACTGATTAGTGACTTGGTCCAATTTGTAAGCCATGCAAACTGGTTTCAACCAAAAATGTGTGAACCTTGGCTTGAACCACTTTAAGCTGGCTCAAGCCAGTCCAGGCCGAAATGCAAAAGTGGCAGTTGGGTGGCAGAATATTAGTCACTTTCCTCTCAGTTAGTTGATTTCACATTATTTTCTACTTAGGCTATTGTATACATCATGGATAAGGTCCCTACTCGAGTTGATGGAAGGTTTAGGGTGGGAGATGTGTTGGGGTTTGGCTCGTACGGTATGTCATTCCCATATCACTGACTACATGTTGATTCAACATTTGGACTGCATTTAGCTGTTGTGTATCGCACATGGAATATCATCAAGGATAACGCAGTCGCCATCAAGCTTGAACCTATCAACCACTCATCTTCCGTGCAGCGTGAATACCGCATTTTGAAAAACCTTGAAGGTGGTATTGGGATTCCCTGTGCCCTTTGGTTTGGTAGGGAGTCAGGCATATCATGCTCTAGTTCTTGACCTCCTTGGGCCATCACTGCATCATATCTTCCTTGCCCACAACCGAAAATTTAGCCTTGACAAGTTGTGAATCTAGGAGACCAGCTGATCAGTCGGTGTGTGTATTGCGATCGCACGCGCAGATCGCTAACCCCATCTCCCAGCTTTCACGTCTTGAATACATTCATTTGCATAATTACATCCACGGTGATATCAAACCACAGAATGTTGTGGTGGGCCTTGGCGATTTGAAGCACACCGCCTTTCTCATTGATTTTGGCACCGCAAAGGAATTCTGGAACACATCGACTAGGAGTCCATATACCATTTTGCCAAGGTCAATGTCTTACCGGCACTCCTGCATTCGTGTCAATCAACAATCATTTGGGACTTGAACTGGGTCATTGTGATGACCTTGAGTCACTCACATACATGTTAATATACTGTTTGCAGGGCTCTCTTCCATGGTTGACCAGTGACCAAGAGAAGCTTTCCAGCTCTTCCATACTCGAGCACAAAGTCAACACTACCATCGAAGTTTTGTGTCAAGGAATTCCTGTCCAATTTGCAACAATTCTCATTTACATGTGTGCTCTCACATTCTCAGAGGACCCTGACTACAACCACATTCGTTCCTTACTTTGTGTACTTCATTCTACATCACCTGCTCCAGCAAGCACACAGCTGGATTTCAGCAAGCCTGATGTGCCTACCACACATCCCCTTCCATGCTATGATGAACCCTGGGAAATCAAGGCAGTGCCTTCAAGTCCATGCCCGCCCGCCGCTTCACAGATCATCTTGTGTGTCAGTAGTCCATTTTATGGCCTCACTTTTGAACTGACATTATTGCAAGTTTATGCCCACATAATCAGCCCTCCCCATTGCGTGCAACTGCCTCAACTCCACACCGGAAAAAGGCCCAGTTTATATATCATGACACCATTATATAGTGTTACTTGTTACTTATACATATGACTGTATATGCATACTATGTGAGCTAATGATTCTATTGTGATAGATTTCATAGCAGCGGCAGGAAGCATAGCCTTTGAGTCTATGACTAATATCAAGACAGTATCTCATTTCTCCAACTCCCACGCACAACACAACCTCTTATGTTTCAACATGCTGCAGGCAGCAGTGCAACTCAGCAATGAGAGACTCATGGTGACTCTCTGAAGAGTCATTCAGCCTGAAAATGAGGATCTGATTTCTGATTTCCTTGATCATTCAGTTACATGGTCACCCATGGGCCACAGTCACCCACTGTCTGCACAAGGACCTTATCCCATCCATTCTGTTGTGATCTAGAGAGCCTCTGGGCCCTCTGCTGGAGTCAATCGCCTCTAGTAAGTCCCTATCTCAAAATCACATTAGTTTTTTTGCTCCTCAAGGCTCTCACTCATCTGACTCACATATAGCATTAAAACATCAAGGCTACTTTGCTAGCGACACCTATGGATTTTCCATCAGGGACTTGCAATCACTGCACGTTGGCGTGCTCTGGGGTTTCCCATGGTGAAAACCTATATAGACAGGTAATTCTGACATTAGATCCTTCAGCACCACCATGCCTCCTCGACGGAAGAACACTTTTGGGTTGCTCCCAAAGCTGCTCCTGCTCTCATTACTGCCGCTCCTGCTCCCATTACTGCCACTCCTCTTACTGCAACTCCTCTTACTGCAACTCCTGCTGTTGCTCCCATTGCTGCTGCAGCAAATGTGTCTGTGCTTCAAAATCCCCCAAGACGTCGTCAGCTTCCTGTTAGATTCAGAGATAATGGTTCAAATCCCACTGCAGACAAAGGGGAATCCTTTCACCTCGAGAACATCTCTGATGATGAGGAAGATGAAGCGGCCAACCCTCCTGCACTCACAGTAACGCCTGTTGTATGCCCTAGTCCACTCCAGACTGCGATGAATACTGCCAGAACTGACCCTCTGGCCACTGGTGGCCGAGCCAAACCACCTAAATCCTCTGCCGACGTTCATTTCTTCTATAGACAGGACCCTGTCACTTAGTCTAGAATCTATAAAGCCTGCGAGTGAGTATTACAGGCACTACAGGTCATTGGACACACACATTTAACGAGCATACCATCATTCATTTGGAAGAAGTAGAGCGCAACCACTGGCACATCCATGTTTCATTGCATTTGAAGACATTTTTGGATGATGGCTGGATGGTCGCGACCTTGCATCAACGGCTCAAGGATCCAGCTTACACCTTGGACTCACTCAGTACTCCCCCAAGTCCTAGCTCACTCACCAGTACCATCCTGTTAGCTCCAGATGGGCTGCCCTGGGGAAGGTTTCGTTCACATTGGACCTCTGGTCAGATTTGAACCTTTGCCCATTCATGGCTGTTACTGCCCACTGGATTGCTAGGGCAGACCATAGTTCAGTCCTCATCTTGAACACAGCATTGATAACCTTCCATCACGTCCCAGGAAGTCACACTGGAGAATTGCTAGCAGAAGTAATATTGCATCTTCTGGATCATGCTGGTGTGACCAAGAAGGTTAGTCTTTAGTTGTGCCATGTAGCATGCTCTAACTTTGTTTAGACTGGTCATTTCACCTTGGACAACACCTCCAACAACCAGGTTGCCATGCGGGAGCTGTCACACAAACTCGAGTCCCAGGGGATTGATTTCCCTCCCATTGACTGCAGAATCCTGTGTGTCCCCCACATCATTAACATATGTGTGAAGCACATCATCGAAGAATACCACACAGCTGACTATTCGCTTGTGCCCGACTATTGGGTCATTGGCAATCACACTATTGTAAAAGCGGATATCTCAAGGCCGTATCAGGGAAAGCTATTCTCTGAGCTAGGGACATTGTGCGCACAATTTGCACATCTAACCAGCGACATAATTTTTTCAGGGACACCATCATCACAGGTAACGAGAAGGAGTGGTTTCAAGACGACTTGGGTGTAAAACTACAGCTCCCCATTGTCGAACTCCTGCTTGATGAGTCAACTTGCTGGGATTCAGTCTATATCATGCTTAACCATTTGCGAACACTTCGCCAGGTAAGACATCACCCACTAAACATCTGACATGACTGATAGTTGCCCAGGCAATAGATTTATTCTTTGACTCTCCTACTCAATGCTCTATCAGCAAATTCAAACTGAGTTTGATGGAGTGGCAGTTCTTACAGGACGTTGAAGTAATCCTAGAGGTTAGTTTTAGTATATTCAAAATTTGTGCTTCATCTGACTGTGTCATATCAGGCGCCCCATGCTGCCCAACAATGCATGTCAGGCAAACGCACTCCCAAGCTGAGAAGTGCATTTCCAGCATTCAAAATGTTTATCGAGCGCTGGAAGCTTTTGGCCCAACATGTCCCACACTGTGACCCTCTTGTCCAGATAGGTTTGGATTGGGCTGATAAGTATGACGAGAGGATGGGCGCCACAAATGCCTATGCAGTTGCTATGTGTGAGTCCATCAATATCTTTTAGTAATGTATGGTTGCTCATGTTTGAGTTCATCAGTCATTGATCCTAGTATCTGAATGTCGGGGGTTCGGAGTCATTGGGGGGAACAAATGAATAAAGATGTAGATGAGCATATAATCCATCTGGTATGTCTACCATGCAACTTCAAAGGTCAAACTGATATTATCTCATGTAGATGCATCAAAAGCGAGCTGAAAATGGCTCAGCATATGTAGGGCCTTGAGCTAATGAAGTAGTACTTCAAGAACAACCACGCACGCTAGGCTTGTGCCTCTATGGACTACCTGACACCAATGTCCTGCCGCGTCATGACAGCATTGCCCAAACGGTCGAGCAAGAGTTCGAGGCCTACACTACAGCTAATCTTAGCCCCAAGACAACGGACATACTTGTGTTCTGGGAGGTGAGTGTCCTGCATCTCCATATGTTATACCTTTCGTCATTGACCACGAGGTGTTGACCAGGTTGCAGAGACATCATTTCCGACAATTTTTGGCATTGCAATGGACCATCTCCCAATACAGGCCTCCACTGTTCCATGCAAGCAAGTTTTTTTATCTAGTAGCGAAACTGACATGAAGAAACATAATTGCACAAGCCCGGTCCTGATGGAGGCTCTGCAGGTGGTAAAGTTCCTCCTGAAAAAAGAGCGAATCAACTTTACCAAAGGTTGGGCGGCATCGCAGAAGGATATGGAGTACAAGACATTGTGCGAACGACAGGCATCCAACACTGTTTTGACATTAACTAACAGTGGCATTACAGGTGATATATGCATCAATCTTCTCAGAGCTATCGCAGAGGATGAGTGTGACAACATCGATGATTTTCCTACTACCTATGAGCTATAATGTTTGCTTTCCCTACTTATCTCTTGTTTGCTCTATCTTTACGTGTTCTAGCTGCCTGGCTGTTTGCAATAGCAAACTTGTTCATTATTTACCTTTCCTTGACAGCCTGCGCTTCTTCTCGACAGGCCAAGTGCTCTCTCAGTCTTTACAAGTACTGGCTAATCACCTCTACTCACACTTTGCAATGCACCAACACTCATCAAACATTGCGGATGTCTGTCCAAACAGTTTGGACTTCTCAATTTAGCGATCTTTCACCACTTTGCCTGTTGTAGTGATGGTCGTGGTGTTGGGCTTGAAACCATGTATTTTCATACTCATCTCAACACCTGAAACATATGCACACATGTCCGATGCACCTTCGCACATGTCCGAGCCACTCTGTCACAACCCAATAACGAATTAACGCTGGGCAGAGACTAGGACTCAGACTAAGGTTATCACAACGAAAAGGATAATGAGCAGGTACGTCTTGGATTGCTACAGTGTAGATACAAGAGGTTTGAACTAGAGAACTATCGACCAAGACATGCTAACTATATACAACTATTGAAACGGAGATTGAAGCTGAGTTACAACTACTAGCCAATCATAAAATAGGAAAGAGAATCGTACCATAGAACATCGTAGAATATTAAAGAAGTATCATGTGACCATATCTTATCTTATCGTATCTTATCTAATCTAATCACAATCAAAGAACTCGTCTTCTTCATCAGTCACATCGAAGACACGTGTTGTGGGCGCTAAAGGTATTTCGGGAATGATAGACGCTTTCAAGGTAGGGTTAGGGTTTGGTTTAGACGCTGTATATTGACACTTAGGAAGATTCAGGAAAGAATAATGGTTTGTTAAAGGTACTTGTGACATTACCCCCTCTCTAAGGTGAGTGTCATCACGAACGAATGAAGGTCGGATATTCTTTTCTCTCCATCATTTGAAATCTTCCGTAAACAGTACTGAGCCCTTGATTCTTCGGTATTTTCCAGCTGCAGCTGTGGGATTGTTCTTATGGAACTCCGCTAAAGGAATTGGGGCGTTCTTCAAATTCTCTTCTGGCTCCCAAGATGACTCTTCCTTCGGGTATCCTTCCCATTTCACTAGGTATTGCAGCTTTCCTTGGAACAGTCGGCTATCTAGTACTTCTTCTACAGCAAATTCTTCCCAATCATCAATCAATTCTGGAGGTGGTCGGTTGGGAGGAGGATGAGGAATCAATCGAGATGCGTGATATGGCGTAAGCAATTCTACGTGGAAAACCAGGTGAATCTGATATTTTTCCGGTAATTTCAATTTGTAGTTCACTTCACCGATCTTCTCTAGTATTTCGAAGGGACCTAGACGACGATCTGACAGCTTTTGACTCGGACGACGTTGT